ACTAAAAGTTAACACTGGTTTCCTTTGAATGGTGGGGTTGCATGTGCCATTTATTTTTGTTTTCAGACTTTTCTGTATTTGCTGAATTGTCTCCAAGAACATATATGACATAATTTAGAAATATATATATATTTTTTAATAAAATCACTTGGTTCAAGTAATTCACTTTTTTTTTCAGAGACCTAAAACTTAATATATTTTCTTCAAAAACCTTACATAACCTTACATATTTTCTTCAAAATCAAAATATAGTATTGATGTCAGTGATCATTACTTTATCCTTAGGCTGCCTGAAAGAAGAGGCCTCTTGTAGGATGCTCTTACTTTAATCAGAATACAAAAGGCCTTGTCCAGGCAGTGCTTAAAATAAAGGGGGGAGGGTTATAGTCAGAAAGGACCTCTCCACCTCCCCCTCATACCATTTTAGAAATGAAAGACCAACTCTGAGAGCTAAATGGCCTGACCAATGTCCCCTTTTTGCCAGCCAGCTGGTGGCTGTCACAGTAAAAGTCCCAGTGCACCAAGTTCCAGCCCCAGACTCCTGCCATCTTGGCAGATACCTTTCTTGGCCACGACCTTTGGAGAGTGCCTGCATTATAAAGGAGGTAATAATAGGAACCCAGGGACATGGAAGAAAACAATTTTTCTCTAGGTCTCTAGGCCTGTTTTAAAAGGATCTTGCATCCTGCTTTCTGCTGTCATGGGCCAGTCTTCATGGTTGGAAATGTCAAATCCTCTAGGGGGATGTTAAGGGGACCATTTTGCACTCCCTATAACTATATACCACAGACCTGTCTGAGTGTCAGGACATCAGGAAGTCCTCTCTCGATTTTAGTCAAAAGTTTCTGGTTCTGGGCTCTATTCTCAGATTAGTTTTTGATGTCTGGCTCCTGTAAAACACATCTTCTAAGCTGGGTTAGAAAGCTGCCATGGAGCCTGATTTATCTGGGCTGGCCATCTCCACTGACCAAATAAACATAATCATTGTCAAATCTCGCCTTCTCTTTGTACTGAGTGCAGAAAAGCCTAATCCAGCCTCTCAGGAGTTGTAACAGGGGCCTGGTCTAAAAGCTCTTTTAACATCATAAAGAGCATTAAGACCAAAATCTTTTAAAGGCCAGTGAGAAACTCATAACATTTTTTACTAAACTCAGGAATGAGAAATCTCTACTATAAATTCAAGACCAGTGCCAACAAAAATGTTGGCAACACTCACCATAAGGAATGACATTTCTTCAGTGTTTTCCTAGTCAAGTAAAATTAAATGGCAACAGATCTGCTTCCTTTGATTTAGCAAAGAGAAAGAATGAAAGAAGGAGAGAAGCAAGGGAAGGAGGAAAGAAGAGAGGAAGGAAGAGGGTGAAGTAAAAATGCAGCAGTCACATGAGAATCTCAAATAACAAAGATGGAAAAATAGTTTGCAAATAGTGTGGTGTTTTTTGGAGTATATTTGTCTGTCTGTCTGTCTTCCTCACGGATGAAGAAGTTGAGTATTCTATGCTGGGCATATGACACTTAAAATGAGAGGAAGGCACAAGGATCATACCATTCCTGAGTTATGAGGCTTGATTCCACATTGATAAACATGTTCACCTATTTTACAATTTAATAAAAAATATTAAACTTATTGCATTAATTATGGTCATATTTAAACCAGATCAAATAGGAGGCAGGGTTCCCTACAGAACTAAATAAACTAGGTTTAATAAACTAAATACACCTGATCTGACTCCCACCACCTGTCACCTAGCTGTAGGAGAGAGTCATCAGAACCCTCTCTTCCCTGAGGCTTGTTGATCACAATTCCTGGACATTTTTCTATCTTTCTCATGACCTAGTATGTGCCAAAATATAATCTATTTTGGAACCATTTGTACCTCCATTCCCAAGTAAATATATTTGTTTCCCCAATTTCTCATAGACTGAAAGCTCTCTGAGGACAAGGAGCCTGCCTTTAATATTTTAAGGGTATACTCCCAAAGGTACCAGGGTAGCATTTTGCATATAATGGGCATTCACTGAATTTTAATTGGCTGCTGATGTAACAATGAACTTCATTTTACCTCCTTACCCACCCAGCTCTTTTGTTGCCAGTGAGCAAACTCAATCATGGAAAGGATTTTCAAATGGAGACTCCATTGAAATAGTAAATTTTCCATTTGGAACAAAGAATTGGCTTGCTGAATACACAGCTCTCTCTAAGGCCCTCCCACATAATTTCTCTTTTGTATAATTTCAAAGTTTACCTACCCTCCACCTACTCAATTATTTGAAGATAGGCAATATGAGAACTCATCTTTCATCCCACAGCGCCAAGTACCATGCTTAGCGCATAGTAGGAACCCAGATGTTGACCAATTCATTATTAGCTTTCAAAACATGACAATTTCAGGAGCAACACAGAAAGTGGGGAAGGAGGTAGAACCCAATCCACTCATGTAATCCCAGGGGTACAATTACTCTTGGCTTAGCTCCCCTAACTCAACACAACAGATTCTGTCCAAGCTCAATGAATATGAAATCATAACAGACACATGGATTCAGGGATCAAGATTGAATTTATGCAACATATCTTTGTTAAAATTTTCCTTTTGCTGATTAAATTGTTCCACTTTTTTTTGCCCCTAGACAATGGTTTCATTTGTGAATCCAAGCTCATAATGAATGAAATTCATTAAATGTATTAACATGTACCATCTCTTACGAAAAGAAGAAAAGAGATTGGCCTTTATTGTGGCACAAGCATATTTTTAGACATATTTAAATAGGATAATGGGACTAGGAAGAAGTATTTTCACCCTTGCCAAGGACAGGGTATTCTTTCTCCACATTGCAACATCGTAAGAATTTAAGACAGACTGGAGATTTTCTACCATACTGAAGGTGCTCAGCACATTGGTTATTGACATTGTTATCAATATTCTGCAAGTGATAATATGGCACCTCAAATCCCCGATGCCTTTACCCTTTCATTCTATAATCTTCTCGGTCTATATAAACTTCAAGTCGACTGAGAGTAGGGCCATATCTGCCCAAGGGAGACCTGACTCATTGCTCATTCTCAATAAAAAGTATATCGACTTATTTCTTAGCCTCATTACTTAAAAGCCAATATAAACAACCTCTTCTTTGCTTCCAAATTTCAATTTGTTCCAAAAATTTCTAGAATAATAGCCAAGTCTAGATCATTGTACATGTTCATAATAAAACCTAAAGAAATATGTAAGATTTAATCCGTGTTACAATTTCAAGCAGGAATTATCAATAAACCGGAGGAAATTTCACAAGATAAATGGAATTTGGGATGGGATGGATACCAGTGTAATTAGAGGCATTATTAAAGAATTGTTTAGAAGATGTTCTTAATATGATCTCTGAAACCCAAAAAACCAGAATACAGACCATTACAAAATTTTTTGAAATTACCCCTCGCCCTCTTAACATTCGGATTATACCATTTCAGTACTGTCACTGGGTATACTTGGTGGTACCAGGCATGAATATAGTAGGTCAGTGTGTAGAGTAATTGTAAATACCCTGGAGGTTAGGGAGCACGAAATAAATATATCCTAGTCTTTTTTATTCAACAGTGATTATTCATCTCTTTTCTAACCTCGAATAGCAGTTGTCCATTAGTTTATAACATCAACCTGTTTTAAAAAGAATTGTGTACACTTCTTATCTTTTATTATTACTATAATTAGAATAAAGTCTCTTAAATATATGTATTCACGCGCCCCCCCTGCCCTCCCCCCCCCCAAAAGCAACAACCAGGAGGGAAGCCCAATGTCAGGACACTAGGCTTCCAATATGTTTTTGTTGAAAAAATAAATTATTTCCAATTTATAAGCAGGACAGCATTCTTATGCACTAGCCTAACATTATTTTCATACACTCATTTAAATGATGTCAAATTCACTTTCAGCTTCCCTTTTCGAGCAGCTAGTCTCTTATCTCCCTAGAGGGGATATTCCCCGGTCGGGGAATGGTCTGACTTGGGATCAAACACAGGCATTCTCAAGCTTTGCGATATGAAATACTAATGAGGAAGTCGGGCGCTAAGCCTCAAGGGTTTCTTATCTCCCTGCGTTAACCCACCACTGAGAAGGGGGCACCGGGGAAAGACGACTGACCCGGCCGCTGGACCCTGTCCGCTCTCGCTCTGGCCACTTTGATCTCGCGCGTCTGCCTAATCAAGTTCATCTACTGCCGCGACTGCTCAGAGTCAAAGAACAACATTAAATAGTTTGATTATCGGATGGTCATTTCCCTCTTCCCTCCACCCCTGATCTCATTTCCAAACGCCAGTCTCTCGCCTCCCTCTCTAAACTTCCCATCAAATGAGAATTAGTTCTTCTTCCTTCTTACCCTCGTTTGATGTGCAAATTTCCTTCTCTTTGCACATTTTTCTCTCGGTGGCAGGGGTGGAGGGGGGGTGGAGGAAGGAAGGGGGAGGAATTGAACGAACTTAAAGCCAAAGACCTCACCCCAATTCTGCAAACCGTGACTCTAAAGGGTTAATCAGCAACTTGCACCGGCCACCTGGCCCTCTCGCTAAGATGCTTTGATAGAGACTTTGGATTACTGATGGGGTTGTATTTAATACTGAATATTATTTATGTGCACAATAAACCAGTACTGGCATAAGGGAGAGAGGAGAAAAGGGGTTTTGCAGAGACTGTCACAATTCCTCTGAAAAGTGTTTCAGGTCCCGATAATCCGACCCTACTGCAAGGCAAGGTCGCCCGAGTTCCCGAAGTTCCTCCCTTCTCCTGTGTTTATTAAAAGTCGTCTGATCTGATGGGCACTGATTACGGTCACCCCGAAGATGAGCTGGGCCAGGGGAGCGACTGCGCAAAGGAGGGGTGGGCTGAAGAGTGTCAAAGGCTCCCCCTCATGTACACAAACACACCCCCTCCCAGCCCCTCCCAACGCTTTGAAATCCCATCCCGGCTTTGTTGTCTCCCCCCGAGGGGCTGGAATGCTCCGAGCCCGCAAGTATAAAGGCAGCCGCGGTGGCGGTGGCGGCGCAGAGCTCTGTGCACCAGGCAGTTAGAACTCTGGGACCTCTGAAGGCTGTCAGAAGCCTGACTCTGCAGCACCGCTTGGTGGGACCAGGCTTGCAAAGTGACATCCCTCCTTTCTTTTTCTCTCTCTCTCTCGAGTCCTCCTGAGATGACGGCTCTGGGCGCAGCGGGAGTTGCCCGGGTCTTGGTCACCCTGGTAGCTGCGGCTCTTTGCGGCCACCCTCTGCTCCGAGTTAGCGCCACCTTGAACTCGGTTCTCGTCAATTCCAACGCCATCAAGAACCTGCCCCCACCGCTGGGCGGCGCTGCCGGGCACCCAGGCTCTGCAGTCAGCGCAGCTCCTGGAATTCTGTACGAGGGCGGGAACAAGTACCAGACTATTGACAACTACCAGGTGAGAAGGGTCTCAGGGATCTGGGGACGCTGTGACCCTAAAAGGGTCTCTTTTGGGGAGAAGGCGTAGAACGTGCTGAGTGTGTGCGGTTCAGGGCGCATTTGGAAACTGCATTTGGGAGCAGTGGGCAGCAACAGCTTTTGGACAGGTGGGCAGAAAGGAAATGTGATGAGCGTCGAGACCTAGGAGTGTGGGCACCTGGATGCCCAGATGCCTCACCCTCTCCCGGTCCCCTTCCCGCAGCCGTACCCGTGCGCCGAGGACGAGGAGTGCAGCACCGACGAGTACTGCGCGAGTCCCACCCGCGGAGCCGGCGCCAGCGCGCAAATCTGCCTCGCCTGCAGGAAGCGCCGAAAACGCTGCATGCGTCACGCTATGTGCTGCCCTGGGAACTTCTGCAAAAATGGTGAGTCCCGTCGCTCCCTTTCTGACTCAAACTGTCCGGTTTCTGCGCGCCTACCGATGGGAGAAAACGCTCTCTGGGAAGCTGCGGCGCCACCTGCAAACGGGTGTTCAGAATGCGAGGTTCCCCTGAAATATCTTCATGGCGAGTGATTAATCTGGGAGGAGAGAGAAGTACGGAAGTCTTGGAGCTCTTTATCTTCCTCTGTGTCCCTCAATTATTTAACACGACGGCTTACCTCTGAGTGGACCCTTCCATAAAAAATTTGAGGAGTCTTGACACGGATTGAGAAAGAAGGTGGGGAGGGAGGGAGGTGGAATTATACAGAGACCAAGGAAACCAGCTCTGGCGTTTAGCTGCCTTTTCCATTTGCAACAGAATGATTTATCTGTGCTGGCCATTCCTTAGGGAAGATCTTGATAGCTTCGCATCTTGGCCTCTCCATCCTTACCCCTTCCTCCACCTCCTGCTACCTTAAAATAAGTACTCCTCTTCCCCTCCCACCATAGATCCACTAAAATTCAATGTCTCAAAGAGGTAGACTCAGCCCAAGAAGTCTCCAGAAATAAACTTAAGGGTGGCGACCCTCCTTAGGATCCAGTAATACTCCAGGATGAACTAAATCTCTGTAATATAGAAATTATACAGTAAAGTAACTGGTGAGTGAGATTGTAATCTTCCAGGCAGCTGGTGTTGCTTTTGCTTAACTTAGTCTGGCGGTACCTATATAGCACCAAGGGCAGAGAAGTTATTTTTAAAACAATTTTTTAAGTGACTGATTTTCTTACTCCAAGGGTCATATTAAAATGGGCAGAAATCTCACTGCCACTACCACAGTTGGTAGGAAAGTATTTTAAATGGCTATATATGGGATGTCGCATATGACTGCACAGTGTACACACTGATGCTTCTGTCCATCTGGGGAGTTTTGCATGAACACTAGGGAGGAAGTTTGGCTTGTGCTTAAAATGTCACTGCAATGAGGTATCAAGTTAGTGCAGGCATAGCAGACTGCCACTATTACAGCTGGAGGTAGTAACACATTACAGCTTAGAAATTAATCACTCTCTCCTGCTTCCTTAGGAATATGTATGCCTTCTGATCACAATCATTTCCATCGAGGGGAAATCGAGGAAACCATTATTGAAAGCTTTGGTAATGATCACAGCACCTTGGATGGGTACGCCAGAAGAACTACACTGTCTTCAAAAATGTATCATACCAAAGGTAGGTTGGAGGACCTTAAGACTCATTCTTCTTTGTTAGCACATCAGAAGTGTCCATCGGATTATCTTAATGAAATAATGCAGGCTTAGCAGTGACCACATACTTTTCATTTTGTCTCCTCCTTCCTAGGACAAGAAGGTTCTGTCTGTCTCCGATCATCAGACTGTGCCACAGGGTTGTGCTGTGCTAGACACTTCTGGTCCAAGATCTGTAAACCCGTCCTCAAAGAAGGTCAAGTGTGCACCAAGCACAGGAGAAAAGGCTCCCATGGGCTGGAGATATTCCAGCGTTGTTACTGCGGAGAAGGTCTGTCTTGCCGGATACAGAAAGATCACCATCAAGCCAGTAATTCTTCTAGGCTTCACACCTGTCAGAGACACTAAGCCAGCTGTCTGAACACAGTGGACTCCTTTTATATAATATAGGCTATGAAAACCTTTTGTGACTTTGTCAGCTCAGTCCTTAAGGATGTACAAATTCTGTGGTTACAGTTAAGCATTCCAATACCTTCCGAAAATCTGGAGTGTAAGAGCTTTGTTTCTTTATGGAACTCCTCGTCACTGATTGCAGTAAATTACTGTGTTGTAAAGTCTCAGTGTGGCACTTACCTGTAAATGCAACAAAACTTTTAATTATTTTTCTACAGGTGCTGCATTGTCTATTGTTCCTCTTGTTATGTAAATTTTTGTACACATTGTTATCTTGACACAAATATTCTATATTGAATTGAAATAAATAATTTCAGCTTATACTTCTTAAGTGCATAACCCTTTCCCCTTTTACTTCTAGAATCTAGAATGCAAGGAGCTTTTGGAATGACAAATGATAGGTATCTGAAATTTATCATGAAAATATTAGCTTATTTTCTGAAATGTACTATCTCAGTGCTTAGATTATATTTATCTCTAGGCTGTGATAGCCCTTGAAATAAAATTTAACATTTAATACCATGAAATGTTACAAGTTTAAATTTTAGCATTGTGATCTGAGAGGCGTGTGTGTGTGTGGTCTATAGGGACAGAAATGTGACGTGTTTAAAGATGATCAGAGAAAGATGTCTAAATATAAGACAATGTTGATCAACTCTAGAGTCATTTTAAAGAAAAACGTGTTCTCCATTGACAAACTCAAATGATCGTGGTGTATGAGATTGAATCTTACATTACTACTTTCAAAAGTTTTCCAATAAATTAATAATATTGTCCAAATAGTTAATAACTATTGGGTAACAAAGGAAATTTCCCACAAAAATAATATGAGAGTCAAGTACTTGTTGGTTGGCAGGAAGAACTTGTGTTTGTGTGTGTGTGTGTGTGTGTGTGTATAAATACAGTTGACAAATACAAACAGATTTTGTATCAAATTTAAGTATCTTAAATACTTCATGCCAGGAAGACTTGTTCTAATTATTTTGACTTTAAAATAATTATTAAATAAAAATCACAAATCCTCTCTCATGCCATTCTTTTCTTCTCTTGCTAGGTGAGCTGAATATTTCAGTTTTTGGTTAACCTGAAATCTGTTGATTGGAATGAGGATGGGGTATATTGTTTAAAAGAAAAGCCACAGAAATGAAATCTAAACTGACTTTGCATTTTCACTTGCCAACTTTGAAATAGGCAAATCTGACACTGAGGAAGGGGAAAGCGACCGTCCCAATTTACACTTATGCTCTCACGTTCTAAAAGTCTACATCAAAACCACAAAATGCTGGGTTAAGGCACTACAAAGGACAGCGATGATCAATTGTCCAAAAAGTTTCCTTAAAAAACGCAGATGTCCTAGAGTGTTTGTTGTTTCGTAGTTCCGGAAGTGGTTCAATTTCAAGGGGCTGAGCCAGCGGGACACAAGGGTTGGTTGGTTCTTCACCGAGAAGGGAACTGGCAGGATGTCTGTTGTTACATTCCTTTTGTCTGGAAGTTTCAGCTTCTTCACCCTGGAGAAACTTTCTTTTTCTACATGTGCTTGTTTGCTGAAGTGCCAGGAAGGCCAATTCTAAGGCCTGCCGTCTCCAATAAAGCACAATAGAGGAGAGGAAACAGGAAACCCTTTCTTCTAAAAGAAGAAAGAAAGGCCTCTGTTTTAAGAGGGGAAAGGAGCAATCATTTAAAGGGCCTTGGTTACGGGAGCCCTTCCTTTCTAGTGTGGCCAGAGACTCTCCGTCCCTGCACATCTCGCTACATCAATCCTAGTTCTAGTCTTTCTTACTTCCCGTCTTGTGATGGGGGCGGGAGAATGAGAAACCAACCTCTTCTTCCCATCTGAGAAGTTAGGAAGGGATTTCCACCAGAAAGAAATTCTGCACATTTATACAGGTGGGAAAAGAATATCAAGAAAACTGTAGATACTTTGTTAGTAATGGAGGGAAAGATGAAGTCAGACACAATATCAATTCAAAAGAGGATCATTTAAGGAATCTCAAACATTTTAGATTGTGGCTGCTTAAATGTGTGTATTATTTTACTTTTAAAAAATTTATTTGAATGGAAAATATATGCACTTGGAAATGCTTCACAAAATATTTTATCAGCTGGTAGCACACTCTACACACTGCCATGCACCTTGCTCTTTTTCACTTGCTGTGTGTCTCACAGCTCATTCTGTGTCATAGAGAGAGACGTCTCGTTCTTTTTAATGGTTTCATTAAGTGTGTAGTATGTTAGAATGGCTATAATTTATTTAAAGAGTCATTATTGAGAGACATTTAAATTGTTTCCAGTGTTCTTGCTATAACAAATCTTGCGCCATGAGTATAGAATTTTTTGTGTTCTTGCGCAGGTAGAGTTGTAGGATAAGATAGTGACTGATTTTTGAAGCAAAATCTGAAATCAGAAAGCATGCTTTCTGTAGCTGTTCCCAAGGGGGCAAAATGTCAAGATGACTGCTTATCTCTGATCTAGTGATGATTCAACTCTTGCTAAACTGTATCAAAGGAGGAAGAGGGAAATACAGGCTTATCCTAACAATTTCACAGTAAACAGTAATCTCTGGCATTCAGTTAAAGGTAGACTTACTAATTCCTTTGATTTTAAAATAATTATTAAATAAAATCACAAACAAGTCCTTTCCCAATCCCTTTTTCTTGTTTTGCCGAAGAGTTAAATATTTCAAATTCTGTTTAACCTGAAATCTATTGATAGGAATGAGGATGGGGATATATTGTTTAAAAGAAAAACCACAGACATGTAGACAATTATATGGTTATTCATATTTCAGCAGATAAAACACTTTATGGGTTTTTCTCATGGTAAATCAAAATGCACTAATTAAACATAATTATGCAGTTAAAAATTTTATTAGTTTCAGTATTTCTAATTGCATAGTCAAATTAGCACTCATTGCCACTGATGGAAATTTCAAGTGAAATCATTAAATTTTCCTTCATTTTTTAAACTGGCTATATTATCTAACTTTATTGTGCTACCAACTTTCTTTTCTAGTCTTAACGAGAAATGGACAATGCTACAAATAGGCTTATAAAATGTGTGCCATTGAGTTCCAGATTACAAATTTCATGCCTCCAAAAAACTTTGAGTACAGTATCAAAATATAAAATAAATACATTATTTCTACACTGAAAAAGCAGAAAATAATCTACATAATTTAGGTACCTGATGTTGGTACAAATGTGCATACATTTGTGGGCCTTTATATGTTTGCTGTAATGGCAACTGCTTATCAATAATCTGAGACTACAGTATGGGTAATGCCAGAGAATTTTAATTCAATACACACTTATTGAGCCTGCTGTGCTTGGTAGGTACTATGCTGGCCTTTTTAATGCTGTATACAATATAATCTCTAACTTCAAGGAGCTCACTGTTCAGCAAGGAAGACAATCAACAACTATTAGTCCTGGGAGTTGGTTTAATATAGTGGTTAGAAACACGGTCTCTGGAATCAGATAGACTCGGTGGGGAATGATGGCTTCCTCAGTTTCTAACCACATGATGTTGGGCAAAGGACATAACCTCATTGATAGCATGGAGAGAATACCAACTTTAGAGTGTAGATGTGAGAATAATGTATGCGTTATAATAATATTTCGTATTATGTCTAGCTCATAGTAAGCACTCGATTTTATGTCTCTACTATTGGACAATAAAACATATATTTTATTATAAGATATTGTATTATATGTATTAATACCTGAAAGAGATTAAAAAGTAATTAAATCAGCCTGTAAGTGCTCAGAAAAAGCTGTAGGGAAGCAGAGGTATTTGAACCATCTTCTTCCCAAGGCTCTTTTATTTCAATGAAGAGAAACCATTTAAACTAGAGAAAGTAAAAAGGAGACGTGAGTTGAAATGATACCTCTCACGAAAGTTATTATGCAAAACATTCTGCAGACTGGCTTCATTAGCTTGCTAATGACTTCTGCTCTACTGTCATTTGCACATTTCTATGGTTTGTCATGGTAGCATAAATTCTGTCCTCATTATAAATGACCTCTGGCTCAGGTCTCAGCAAACTGCTTAGCCTCTCAGACTCAGAGACAAATTCCTGAGTCAGGGTTCTGATTGGCTCAGTTTTGATCAGGGGTTCACCTTTGGTCCAGTTGGCTAGCTTGATTCCCCAGATCCGCAAAATAAACATGGCTGCCTGCATGCAGTCCATCTTTAATAGGAAGTTTGGTGGTTCTAAAGGAGTGTGTAGGAGCAGGCACCACATGTCATGTCCACCACGTAATAGTCTTGAAGGATAAGAAGGAGTTCTCAAGGTAAAAAAGAAAGGAAAGATATTGCAGGCAGAGGAAGCAATGTGAGTCAAATTACGAAACCATAAAAATAGAAATACATACTGTGTGAAGAAAAGAGGAAATAATCCACTGTGGCTAGAGTGAGGTACCTGGGAGGAAGACTTTTCTGACTTTGAGTAATTTAATCTGTTATCCAGGAAAAAAATAAAAAATAAAAACTCTTCATTTTCAGCAACAGTTACCATATCAGGTCACAATGGAGTTGTAGAGATGTTTGAGACTTATGTTGTCACAAAAGAGACTGTCCTCAAAAGCCATGGTGATTTTCTTTTTGCCAAAAAGGTTATAAAATAAAGACAACATTACTTCATTTCCAGCAAAAGTTGTCATATTAGGTGGAGTTGAAGTTAAAGAAATTATGTTTTAGACAATGCTGTTTTTGACTGATGTAATACACAGCTTTCACAAATCATGGATTTTTTTTGCCAAAAAAGTTATAAATTAAAATAATATGACACAATCTCTAAATATTAGTAAATGTAAAATTACATTTGAAGGCCAGTAATAACCGACCCTCTGTGATTATAAACTATTAAACGAATCATATTAAAAAAATAAAATTGGCAGAAGGTATGAAGCATGACTGAGCATGCTAACTCCATATTACATTTCACAATATTTCACACTAACTTTATCCTGATGAGCAAAAATTACTTTTAGAGTCCTATTATTGAAATGTTTCACGTATCTATGACACTCTGAAGTTCAAATTAAAGGCAGATGATAATGTCCAATAAAAAAGAACTGTTTAGATAAGTTATATGTCCTAAAGTATTTTGTAATCATCAAATTTATCTGGAGAAATGTTCTTAGTTCTCCGTGTTAGAATGGTTAAAAAAAGCATATTACAGAACATACACAGTATGATCAGAATTACTTGTAGTAACATCAAAGATCTAAGCCCAGATGGCCATATGCGGAGGGCAGGATTGTGGGAACTATTTATCTCTTTCGTTGTTTTCCATTTTTCTATAACAAACTGCAAGATATTACTATTAGCAGTAAATCTAAAGGTAGGACTAAAACTTGGATTTTCCTCAAACTTCTCAACACAGTACGCAGATATCTTAATGCTCGATATTCTGATTAGAGAATGAGGGTAGTGGCAGCACAGTTATTCCTCTCTGAATTTCCCAAAAACTACAGAAAAGAAAAATATCCTTCCCTTACTGACCAAATTCTTTTCCATTCAAGAAGTACTGACTT